AGGGCCCCCAGCTGCCCAGGAATTTCGCGCTGCGCTTCGGCATTGGCGAGGGCGAGACGCGCCTCACTGCGGAGGCGCGCGTGCGCCATGCGCATTCATGCCTTCGCGAGGGCCCTGGCAGCTGGAGGAGGTTTCGGACGGTCATCCCTGGCGATCGCGCGGTGGAGATTTAAGCGGGCCTCGACAACATGATGGACCCACGAACCCGGAAAGGGATATAGACATGTGGAGCATGGACACGTTTTCATGATACCCAACTGGGCAACACCTCACGAAACATCCCACGAGACACCTCACGAAACAGCCCACGAGACACCTCACGAAACATTCCACGAGACACCTCACGAAACATTTCACGAGACACCCCGCGAAACATTCACGAGACACCCCACGAAACATTCCACGACGACAGGCAACCACTCAACCAAGGCGGTGTGGTCGTGCTGGGGAGTGGTCGTGCTGGGGTGTGGTCGTGCTGGGGGGTGGTCGTGCTGGGGGTGGTCGTGCTGGGGGGGTGGGTCGTTGCTGGGGGTGGTCGTGCTGGCGTGGTCCGCCTGGGGCTGGGCGTAGCTGTGTCGGTGGTCGGCTGGGCGTGTCGGCGGGCTGGTCGGCCTGGTGTGGTCGTGCTGTTGTAAGGTCGTGCTGGGGTGCGGTCGTGCTGGGGTGTGGTCTTGCTGGGGTGGGGTCGTGCTGGGGTGTGATCGTGCTGGGGTGGGGTCGTGCTGGGGAGTGGTCGTGCTGGGGTGTGGTCGTGCTGGGGTGTGGTCGTGCTGGGGTGTGGTCGTGCTGGGGTGTGGTCGTGCTGGGGTTGGGTCGTGCTGGGGTGTGGTCGTGCTGGGGTGTGGTCGTAGGAGGGCTGAGGTTCTGGGAGTGGGCCGTGCTGGTGGGTCGTGCTGGGTGCTCCGCACACCTGTGATTTATCGATCGGCGGCCGGCCTGGTGTGGTCGGGTGCTGGGTGTGGTCGTGCTGGGGGTGTCGTGCTGGGTGTGGTCGTGCGGGGGTTGGCGTGCTGGAGTGGTCTGCTGGGGGTGGGTCGTGCTGGGAGGCGTGCTCGGGTGGTCGTCGGGGGTCGTGCTGGGGCGTGGTCGTGCTGGGGCGTGGACGTGCTGGGGCGTGGTCGTGCTGGGGCGTGGTCGTGCTGTGGTGAGGTCGTGCTGGGGTGTGGTCGTGCTGGGGTGTGGTCTTGCTGGGGTAGGGTCGTGCTGGGTCGGGTCGTGCTGGGGTGTGGTCGTGCTGGGGTATGGTCGTGCTGGGGTGGGGTCGTGCTGGGGTGGGGTCGTGCTGGGTCTGGTCGTGCTGGGGTGTGGTCGTGCTGGGGTATGGTCGTGCTAGGGTGGGGTCGTGCATTTCGCTCGAGACATCCTGCCAAAATTCCAGGAAATCGTACAAAAACAAACGAATTAGTCGAGACATCATCGAAATTCCTTCGCGCGGGGCGCTTTTCCGCGTCGCGGTCGGCTCTGCAAATCAAGCGTTTCGCTCGAGACATCCTCGGCAAACTCTGCGGAGCAAGCGTTACGCTCGAGACATCCTCAACACACGAAAAAGTGGCCCGCACCCTGTGATTTATCGATCGGGATTTCAAAAACAAGCGTTTCGCTCGAGACATCCTCAAATTTTAATTCGCCGGCCTCCTTCGACCTCGTTATTTATCAGGGAAAAAATTCGCCGGCCTCCCTCAAGTTGGCACCGGGGGACAGGTTTACCAACTAAAAGAGAACCCTGGGCTCATGCCCTTTCCGGGAAAAACCAGGCAGGGCATTGCCAGGGAGCGAGCGTGCAAGCAGCCCAAGACCTCCCTCGTCGAACCGATTGCAGAAGGACATATTTGTGTATAGGGGGGCAGGGGCGCTTCTCATGCAGTGGCAGCCCATCGCGAAGGTGGAGGCACGCCCGAGTGACCCACCGAGGGTCCGCTGGAACGTGGCGTCGCTGGCGGACCTCTGCCTGGAGCGCGCGCAGATGGCCTCCGCGGCTGACCGCATCTTTTCTGGGGTGCAGATTCAATGGAGTGGGTGGCGCTATATTCGGATCGTCGTCGGCGACACTTACGACGTGGAACTGTCGCGCTCTTTGCAACCACCGTCCTGATGCGTGCGCTCGGCGCCTCGGGGTACTGAGCGATCTCGCGGCCTCGCCATCCCCCTCTACTGTTCCAGCCCTTCAGGAGACTCGCGGCGGGGCCCTTGCCGTTCAGGGGGCTGCCCGGCGCGCGGGGTTACCGCGCCACGCTTCTGCGTCTGAAACGGAGGGCCTGCTGGCGGGCGGCGTAGCCACGCCGCCCCCCCCCCTTTCCTTTCTTTCAGCCCCTCTCGAGGTCTCGGAGCTTCGCGATGCGGGTGTGTGCAGGAGGATTCTGGCTGTAGAAATTTTGAACGCCTCCTCGGACTTCCGACTCCGGCATTGGAATGCCCACAATTTTGATCTGAGCCTCGACGAGATCCGACGGGCTCGCGACCGCATCAGGTCTTAGGTCGAGGTGGCACGGAGCGCGCCTCT